AGAAAAGGATGAAAAAATGGCCAGTTCCTTTAACAGAAGGAAACCTCTCAAGGTTTTCAAAACTGCTCAAACCTCTATATGCCCCATTCTCCAATTAAACACAGTTCATGGCACTTAAATACGTTAACTCTGCTCCATATTTCCCGCCAATATTTAATTTATTTTCTAACAGACCAGAGATTTTACATCCACATCCACAGAAGCTTTTAATAAAGATTTTTCCAACTCCAAAGATGCTGTCTTGACCTTTATAGAAATCAAGGGAATACGAAGCAAATTAGAATGTTCATTCCAAAATGGATTTTAAAACTGAATTTTCCTCCATATAAAAGGTCATATTTTATTATCCATAACATTAAAGAACCTGTCCATCAAATTGGCTGTTACACATACTGTTTCAATAAGCCCCAAGGGGACTGTATGCGGTGGAAACAAAACAATTCACTCTGGCTACATTTCTCTGCAGGTAAATTGGCTATGCTGAAGGAGACCAGCATATAGTTATCTAACACAGCTACTAATTGTCATTTCCTGCAGTGAAAATAGCAGCATCCTATTGGGAAGCACACTTGTGCACTGAAGAGAAGTGAAGGAGTCTGAAATATTGCCCCCTGGCATATATAGACACCTGCCCAGCAGAAAGCCCAGAGTTTTATCCCCCACTAGAACTTGCGACATTAAACAGATACACAAAATGCTCTTCGATTGGTCCCTTGCACTGAAGCCCATTGAATTCTACTGAGTTCAAAGAGCTTTTAATCAGGTTATAATCAAGGGGGTGGGCGGGTGGAAACAAAGACACTTGGCGCTTACACACATGCAGGGAGGCTGCTCCGACACACCGTAAATCCAAGGCGCTGGAGCAGACTCGATTAAATCAGGTCTGCTGGAGCATGAAAATTAGCTCACTCCAGCAGCCTCCAACATCATGTGCATCAGTGTCCCCATGCTGAAAAATGACGGCGGGGTGCTTTAAACTTAAAGCTTGTTGAACAAGCTTTAAGTTCAAAGCACCCCACTACCATTTTTCCAGCATAGTGACGCTGATACACATGACAATCAGGAGCTTTCAATTAGCGCGGTTTGCTAATTAATGCCCTCCCCCCCTCAACTTCCTGGAGCATGTCTATAAACACCCACTGATTGCTTTGAATTTCCTTCCTGTCTTCCTCCCTTGTCCATACTGTATACGGAAAGGGCTGTCCATCTCTAAGAGAATAAGCTGAGACAACTGTAACCTATTCTAGGTAACACCTTTTCTGTAGCTAAAGATGTCTTCAGTACCATGATTATCAGTGGGAACGGTTAGATTGCTAACCCTTTTATTGACTAACTTTGTGATTGAGAGCAGGGCTGTCCAACTTCTGGGCAGCCGGGCCAAATGCCATATGGTTTGCAGACCTAGAGGCTGCTCGCCATGAAGATATCCCCTGGGCATTCCCTCATTAGGCCCCTCTTGGCATGCACAGTGTGGGCAGCCCAGCTCCCCCCCATGCAAGAACCAGCCCTGATTTAGAGCATTGTAATCCCAGGCTTGGTGACTCTGAAGTGCTGTGGGACTACAGTTGCTTCCTTAAGTAGCCTCCTTTTGTAAAAGGGGCAGAAACAAAGTTACTTGTATATCAATGATTTAAAGGCAGATGGACAACCTGTAGCATGGGTCTAGTATATACCATCACTAAATATGATATATTTACTGGTATTATATATAATATTATATTCCAAAATGGATTTTAAAACTGAATTTTCCTCCATATAAAAGGTCATATTTTATTATGCATAAAATTAAAGGGCCTGTCCATCAAATTGGCTGTTACACATACTGTTTCAATATGCCCCAAGGGGACTGTATAAATATTATCTATTTATTGGTATTATATACCATCACTAAATCAGAGTACAAAGTACAGGTCCCTTCTGACCACATGCATTCCATTTTTCAGTCTTTGATTTTTACAAGCTTGATGCCAGAGCCAATTCTTATCGAAATGAAGGGAGCTCTGCCTATTGACAACCTCCGTTTCCCAACACAGAGGCCTTCACCTTGACTTGGAGGTGAGAAGATAGTTCAAGCTTTGTCCATTACCTTTTCAAAGGCAAATTAAATGGCCATATTAATGACAGGAAAAGTAGGCCCCTGTTATGTGCCATTACTGGATAAAGAACTTGTTTGCTCTAGCCAAAATTAAATCCACATTTAATGACCATCAAATAAATATCTGCTCTGGTTTGCTGGCCAGTGGCCGCGTGTAATGGCTGCAGAAAAAGAAAACATACAGTGAGTGCCAAAACACAGACTTTGAATAAAAAGCTCTCTGATTTATTTTAAGAGTCTCTTTCTCTCTCTTCTTGTGCCAAGACTATTGGGCACATGTATGATTTGGACTATCTGAAATGTCACTGTGCTTTCAATTTACCATCCTATCCATTTGGGGCCTCTTTAAATCTTCCCTTAGCAGTGTCTACCATGTAAAAATCAAACCATGTTCACTGCTATTAACTAGAACCTACCTCCTTAACTGGAAAAGAAAAATGACCTTTACATTTCAGTTTGTGGAGGCTGTGGCTCTACAGAATATATGCAGGCTATTTTCATTTGATTTTTTTCCCAGTTAATTTAACCCACTTTTAAAGTCCTGGAAGAGCTTTGTATTTATAATAGATTATTTTACCACCCTGCTACACATATAGTTTAGCTTGCCAGGAACGTAATATTCCTTTTCAAATTTGGCACCACTGATGATTATCTAGAAAATTTGAGTAGCATTATATTTCTCCGGTTACCATTGTTAGCAGCCAGTCTATATGGGATGAGAGAAGGAGCAGTGTCACTGGTACCACAGGCATTGTAGAACCAAACCACACTCCGCAGGAGAGGACCGTTATCCAATAAACTCAGTGAGGATGGATAGTATCTTATGGATGGTAAGAACAGTTTCAGTCAAAGTATCCTCTGTATAGCCATATTCATATTCATGCACTGAACATTATAAAGTTACTGTTTGCTCTGAGATGCTCTTGTTGACATATTTGCACAAAGCAAGAAGAGAAACAAAAGGTTAGACACATAAGTTATTATGGAGGTACTGGCACGCAACTAATGAGGCAAACGTGCACATTACAACGAGTCTGGAGTTCACCAGTGAGGTTCAAGTATAAGGCGGAAGATAGATTAGGATATACCATATTCCCTTTAATAATAGGATAGGAACTCCTTCGGAGCAGCCTTGTGGTTCTATTGAAATCCCATGGGACCTTCTAGTTTCACATCGTTTTATAGACCGGTAGACATTTTTCTAGTCATCGGCCTGATTCACGGTTTAACAAACTTCAGTTACTGTTGGATGCTAATAGTGTGCTAATACACTTGAAAATGTTCCTGGCACGGTGGTCCATCCAGTTCTGTTCACAACAAACCAAGGTGTTCAATTGCTGTGGTCAGGAACAGGACGCTCACGGTGCCGGTGTCCTCCCTTGATGCTACCTGCAGCTGGACACATGAGCTTTCTCGTTTCTCATTTCTCTCTGATGGCTGGTGAGACAACTGCCCCCTGCTTCCCACCCCTGCTTACAACTCTCTGTTGCTGCTTTCTGTCCCAGGGACATCTGGGGCTTTGCCCTTCATCTTATCACAGGTCCTGAGAAGTATAATCCCAATTTTCCCACTAGCAACATAAGATTCCATTTCCAATGCTCTTTCACTTCATTAAGATCCATTTCTGACAAATTATGTAATACCAGCAGATGTTGGGTAAGGAATAAGTTTCATGCTATACTTTTAATGTGGAAATTGCCTACGAAAAAATGTATTTATGAGCATATAAAGTAAATCACTTCAGTGGGTTTTTTCTTTTGCATTTCAGGACCTGTTTCCCTTTTCTTGTCAAAACCTGCAAATGTTCCCTGTGCTGAGTCAGGCAGCACAGAAATGTAAAATTACCCCTCCTAAAAGGAGGACTTTACAATTCATCACCCGGGCTAAAGCAGCTGCAGCTGTTGAAAAGTGTTAGCACATTAGCTGTTATATTACACACAGAGCCTTTATTTATTTGATGCCTTCAGCTCTGGAGACTTGGAGGAATGTTCAGGGTTTTCTCTATATTTTTATGTGCTACGAAAGCCACTTGTTGTGAATTTTCACAAGATCCTTTAATTTAGATTATGCTTGACAGAAGGAACTTTAATCCACATAAGATGTAAAAATATTGCATTTTAACAAGGGTTTTTAATTATGTTTTTATTGTCATTGTCATTATATGTTTAATAGGATAGAGTGCAGCATATCAAGGATGAGTTGTTATTGATATTTTGGTGCCTTAGGCTTAATAGCAGCTCAAATATTATAAAGAAATTAACTCTGATAAAGATGATTTATTGCTACCAAAAATATTTATGCAGGGTTTACTACTAGTGGTGAAATCTTAGTGTAGGAATGAATGACCAAACCCTAGCCACAAACTTATGCCTTCTTAGTTTGAAGTCTAACTTTTCCCCTGCTTCTTTCCTGTCCATATTTTTTGTCCACAATTATTTCTTAGACCCATAGCTGCCCATTTGGCAGTAGATTCAAGCATGTGCTTATATGGATTATATGGAGGGGCCTACCAAATCTTGCAGGTTCCCCCGTGCACCTCCATTCCTGATTGGCTGCAGGGCCCTGGTGGCCTTACTGCTTGTTGCTCACTGGCTGGGAGGCAAAAATGGTGCCATACTTAAAACCACAGTTATCACCTCCCTGCCAACTAGGAGGGAGTTGGGAGGGGGGGATGTGGCCTCCACGAATTGGTATGGGGGGGGCACACAAGGGAACATGTAAGATTAAAGGAGCTGCTGTGCAGCCTACTTTTGCCATGAATTTGGTAGGTCCATAACTGTACGGCACGACATGACAATGGATTTAAGCACATGCTTACATTATTGGAATAGGGGTCTTCAGGAGGGGAAAAAATATATGAAATATATTTCCATTCCACTGAGTACTATCAAAAATCACTACTTACCGCTGTCTATTGCCAGAAACTCTGCAGTATAGATGTTGTTTGTGACATATGATGATTCACGATCCAGGATGGCAGTGGTGCCAATGGTACCATTTGTAGGGTTAATTTCCAGCCAACCTGCTGGATCCTTGTAAACAGAATACCTAGGCAGAGAGAGAGGAAAAAAACCAACCACAGATCATACACTGAGACATGAGTGGATTACAGTGCTTTGCCCTTTTCACAGGAGGATCTCGACATCCTAAATATAAATTAAAACCTACCTTATACTTTTGAGATAGGTCATTATTGTTCGAATCTGTTTACAAGTGGAGTAACATACATGAGAAAGTTAAGGTTGGCATTTTTAAACATCTGTGCTTAAAGTTAGAAACCTAAATTCATCTCCAATGCACTAAATAAAGGCAGGCCGGTTCTCTCGCATGCTGATTGCCTTCTGTTGGTCATCTCTGGACTTTTATTCTACTACCTGTCATAGCAATGGATGGTGTTCCTTAAAGATGATAAAACTCTGTATAGGTCTGATTTCATCTGGAATTCTGTTTCATAGCTACAATCGCCAAACCCTTAGGCCACCTAGATAGCTGGCTAAATAGAAATGTGTAAGATTTGTTTTCCAGGGGCCCTGACACCTACTTTGCTGTTATAGACAGGACCTTCGGCCTCATGATTATTTAGGTTGAGGTGGTCAACCTGCGGCACATGTGCCAAAAGAGGTACAGATAACCTCTGTATGTGATGTGTGGCTGATCAGGGAGGAATTAGGCAGAAAGCAGAGCAACAGGCTGGGCAGTGAACACAGAGCAGGAAGTGGAAAACAGAGCAGCAGATCAGGTAGAGAAAGGGGAACATAGTGGCACTCAGGAACGGTACAGAACTGATTTGCGGCACACCTGCCAATAAGGTTGGCCTTCACTGATTTAGGTCTTGACATACACATATGGTTAGCCTATCTACCGTAAATAATCTCACTGGGGTAAAGTTATGTGCATATTTATTTGCAGGCTCAGGACGTATTTCTGTTCACAGTCAAAGGTGAGGAAGAAACTTGAAGTAACTGGCTCAAGTTTCCTCTTTAATGAAAGGTTTTAATGCATCAACTCTCCAACTGATGCTCCAATCACACAATCAATATACACTTTAGCAAGATACTTATCTTTTTGCAATGCATTGCTTTACAGGTCATAAATTGCCATAAAGACTTCCATAGACATTCTGAATTATAGGCAATTGACATGAAGCCTGTTTATTGTTTTATGAGTATCTGCCAATATCCCAGTGACTCAGAGAAGCCTCCATTTAAAAGGTGAGCTAGGCAGGCAGTGCTGTCAAAAAAACCTTATCGTTGCAACCACCTCCCAAAGGCAGTAATCAAAAGCAGCAGATTGTTAGCAAGAAAATAAATAAAATGGCCAGGTAAGAAAAAAAAAGAACTGAGAGTCAGCAGCTTAAAAGAGAGATCATTCTGAAGGCTACTTTCAAAGCAGCCTCTTGGTATCATGTAACTGAGATAGTCCATCTACCTCAGAATAACTGCTTGGTCCTCATTACCACACTGTCTGGACACCTCAGCATCATTAATATATTTATTCTCACAATGGACTTTGGATGAGGTGAACAGGCCAAATTAAATCCCAAATCAAGTCAATGGAAAAATGATCATTGGCCTCCAGAGGTGATGGATTATTCCTGCTGAGCTAGAGCCGTGAAGCCATAAGTCTAAATTGCATTTAACCCTGGTTAACTGCATTGTCTTCAGGAGGAGATTCATAAGGTGGCATAAATGAGATCAGAATCAGACTGTTAGCCTCCATTATGCCATGGCTACAGATGGGAGGAAAATGGAGCTTTCAGAGCACGGGTTGTGGCAACCTATGGCCCAAAGGCCAGGTTGAGCCCACAAAGCCACTGGATCCAGCCCACAGAGCTGAGGATTTCAGGAGCATTCAGGAGGAGAGCTTTGCCTACGCTGCACTGTGGCCAAAAGGTGGGGAGAAGTGGCAGAAACAGTAGCTGGGTCCTTGCACTGACCCACCTCAGACCTGAGCAAGGTCATTCAGGCCCAGAAAAATGTTGTAAACTCATGTTCTAGAGGACCCAAACTCTTGTGAATTTGGGTCAAAAATGATGTATCGTATCAGCGAAAAAATGTGGTATAAAAATTCAAAATACCAAAACACATTTCACTGCTGAAATGCTAAAGTGTTGCGTGTAAACATTTTCAAATGAAACTGTACTTTTCCTTTTGAAGTTGCATTTTGTTTTCAATCATCTCAATGACAATTTATTTTTAAATCGGTAAGTAAACAAAAAGTGTTAAATAACCTGAAAATAGAAATACATATTTCATCTGGAGTCGTACAAAATGTTTTGGGTTAACCCCATTTAACTGAAACCCTCTAAAATATTCAGTTTGACCTGAAATAATTTATTTTCCTAACTATGGTTTGATCACAGAACCCAATGCCCATTATTTACCCAGCTCTAGTCATAACCTGGTAAATGTGAAAGAGGATTTTTGTTTCTGGGCTCCAGATTCTGCTTCTTCAACATAAATAATTTGAATTTTACTTATGTGCAAAGATGTTATACTAGACAAAACTCCCTTTACATTTTACTTAAAACCACTGATAGGCCAAACCCTTATGCCCTACTCAGCTTTTGCTTGTACCTTAGAGAGGGAAATGCTCATTGTTTTCAGCAAAGTTTGCCTCAGAAGGAAAAAGTAAGAAATTGAATTTCAGGATTTGTGCCTCTTCAGGTAAAAACAAAACTAGAGATGAATATTTCAGGTGAAACCTGATTCACTGTTCTTAATATTGGGTTTAGGAAGACTTATTATGGTATTTTTTTTTCCTCCAGAAAATAACCTGCTTCTAGCTCAGCAGAAAACTGAAGGAAATATAAAAAGATGAGAAAAGAGAGAAAAATCAACTGTTCAGACACAAAGGCCTTGCTCTACTTGAGATTTTAACAAAAGAAACTCTTAATGAAGAAAGCAGAAACTGAAGGACGTGCAAGGAAGGAAGGAGGATGAGGATGAGGGTTCTATTAAAATGCAATTCTTAGGCCCAAATTCTACTTTAATATGAGCACCTGAGAGTTCATCTGGTCTTCACAACCACCCATCTGCAGAAAAGGGAAGTCCCACAATCCCCAGGAGAGTTATTTATACCCTAAGGGCGTTAATGTAGAGCGCCTGAGAATTTTAACGTGCCTTTTTTTGGTGCGGTGCATGACACGGCGTTGGTGTTCGCATGACCGGCACTTTCAAGCGAGTTAAGCCTCGTGTGTCATTCCCTGCAGATTTCAGTAGGGGGAGTCAATTTACCCTCTAGAATAGCGGTTCTGAACCAGGGGTACGTGAAGCCTCATCAGGCGGTAAGTTTGTTTAAAATGAAAAAGTCTTTGTATGAGTATCTTGCATTTTTATAATACATGATTACATGTAGTTTGACATAAAAATTAACTTCCCATTGAAAGGGGGTACGTGAAGTCTCACTCTGAGACCAAGGGGTACGTTGACTGAAAAAGGCTCAGAACCGCTGCCCTAGAATGCCTTTCCTAATGTATTACAGCAGGAGGCACATGTAAACCATCTGGGCTCCCCAGTCCCCGCACCCACTGGGCAGTCCTGACTCTCACTGGGACTCTCCCCTGGGCACGGTCATGGTCACCCTGAAATCCTTGTCACTTGCACCCGCCTATGCTTGGTTGGTCTGGTCTCTCTCCATCCGTACGCGATCCGAAAGACCCCATCCCAATCCTCCCCTTTTCCTTTCCCTTCCCATCCCACCACGTTACAAATATATGTGGGTTTTTTCATTTACCATAGCTGCTATGATAACTGCTATAATATCCTTGAGTAGTGGGTGGGTGGGTAGGTGATTGGCAATAGCTGTCAATGATAAGTAAGGGCCCTTGAAACCACAGCTAATTTCACTCGTAATCACAAATGAACTTGAGGTACAAATCTGACTGGGTTTCATGTTCTTCACCAAGATCATAGTCCTGTAACATACTCCAAGAGGATGATCCTTTGTAGAACCATGCCAGCCTCATTGGACACAGGATTGTTCACAGACATCCAGTTAGAAAATCAGGGTGTAGGAGGGTGAAAATGTTGAAGTGCAACCTCAAATGCCCAACTGACTCTTTTTGAGCCGTTCTACACTGAAACATTCAAAAAAACCCTTGCAAATAATTTAAGAAACCAAATACATTCTGGAACTTCCCATTGCAAAAAATATTAAAAACAGTTGATGGATAATATATTTACTATCAGTCATTCATTCATTCAGCCTAATTATCTGTAGCCTGCTTCTGGTAACTTCACCAGGATATTCACCAGTGGCTTCCACAGGATTAGTCCCTTAGGGGAAACGGAAACAAAGAGATGTAGGTAGACACTAATGAATAGTGAGCGATACAGTCCATCAACCCAGCATGCACTTCCTCTATAGTAATCATTTAAACATTAATCAATAGATGAGCATTATCTCCCATAAAAATGAGTTGCTAGAATAGCAAGTAACGATGCTGATAATTATTTCATTTCACATCTTTGTTTCTTTTTTTATTGTTGTTTTATAACTTCGTAACAAAAGGTACGTGCAAAAATATGAAACAAGGGCAGTCTAAACAATTCCCAGGCTATTGTAACACAGCAAATTCTCAATTAACCCTGAAACAATTTAAGAAGATTCAACACTTTTAAAGTAATGAGAATTTAAAATGGATTGTATTATCTTCCCTGATTGCTCTACAAAGCACTGTTGGCTGTACAAATAAAAAGCTAAATTGTATAACCTGTGATTTGGCACAGGGTTTTGTAAAAGTAGTACTTTGTCTTTCCCACTGCATTTTTTACTTATTGTAAGAGTACATTGCTGTATAGTTAAGATGATTGTTCTTTGTTCCCTTTTTTTTTTGTTCAAATGAGGGTTCTACCAGCAAAAAGGCTTAAAATAGACTCATTAAGAAAAGCATTATATGAAACCATAGCAGTATAAAATACAAGGACTTTCTCTTCCTCTGTTGAGTTCAATGGCAGCTACTGGCAGCTCAGCAGTTTTGAAAATAAGGCTACTTTCTTTTCTTGGTGCCTAAATATGGACTTAGCCTAACTTTCAGAAGCAGTTTT